TAAGGTTGCCAAGTCACAATGTTGATGTGACAGCAAAAGCTACAACTAGCCAAATACCTTAGCTATGGAGCAGCATCTTCCTTTATTTTCACCTGCCTTCACCTTGTGTTCCCAAATCTCATTCCATTTCTAACCACCTATTGCTTCTTATTTCTCATTAAAAGAATTTACATTCAGACATCTTTCCCTCCAGCTTTGTAACATGTTCTCATATGTTCCAACTGCCCTTGTTTTCTGGTCCCTAAATATAACTGGTTCTGTCTAGATTTGAGGACAGTGAAGTGCAAGAACATCATGCTTTGGGGTCCATCTTCCCATTCCTCAATGCAACAGAAGATAATTTATTTCATATCTCTCTCTCTCTCTCTCTCTCTCTCTCTCTCTCTCTCTCTCTCTCTCCCCTCCTTCCCTCCCTCCCTCCCTCCCTCCCTCCCACCTCCTCTCTCTCTCATACAAACACACACACAGTTGGGGGTTAAAGAGGGAGAGAGAAGAAGGGAGAGGGTTTTTCAAAAAAAAAACAACCACTAAAGAAGTTTTAAGGCTTTTGGCTACTCTTGGTCTACACTGAAGGCTGGGCAATATATTCACAGTAATGACTGTGTATGCATATATGAATGATCCAATTACTGGATCAAGGATATATTATTTCAGTCCAGTGGTTAGATCCAATATTTTCTTCATTTCTTTATTCACGTTGAACATGTTCTGATCTACACCATGTTCTTTTGAATAGATTCCAGGGCACAGTCTTGATCCCAACAATGCAGAAACAGAGGTTGAAAGCTCCAGTCCCTTCCTCCATGCATATTTGTGCCCGTGTGTGTGGCCTTTTCGTTTGTTTTCCAACTTATATATGCAGCAGGAAAGATACAAATGCCTGCACGACCCTTAACAATCCATAACTTGCTCGGATACAAGATAAGATCCAGGAACAAGATTGGCTCGATCTTCTTGGCAATCAAATGACAGACAAGGCATGCTTTGATGCTGTCTGCAGAGCTTCCTGGTGTACAGATGTCTCCAATTGATGACAACTTAGAGGAAAACTTGCAGAGAGGTAACCAGAGGTAAGTACATGTGCCAGCTCCCATCCAGCCTTGAGAGATGCCTTGAAGGCACTGGACAAAGGAACCATGCACGAGAACAATGGGAAGGGTGGTTGTCCTTCGCTGTTGCCAGCATTCTGTCCATTCCAACACACTGAACCATTTAGAGCTAATTTCACGCTAACTCCTTTAATCAAGAACATCTTCATCTCTTTTTGGAAAGAGAGAGAGAGAGAGAGAAAGAATGGGGATATTTTCTATGTGCTTCAATCTTCTTGAGGAAAAGAAGTTAAGCGCCCTGGAAACAATCTAAGTCCCCAGGAAGCCTCTGACTCAAAATGCCTTCCAAGCAGACAATGGCTACTTCTGGTCAGATGTGAAGTCACTTCCTCTTCCATAAAAAGAATATCTCATATTTCTGGAATGACTTGATGCATTCAAAACACTGTTGAAGAACCAGCTAACCCTATGAATAAAAGAAGTTGATTGGACTGAGTTCCTTCATTAGAATCAGGTTCCCCTCCTCATCCCTAACATTTTCCAATTGTGTGAGTTGATTAAGTATTTTCAAAATAAACGAAGGAAAGGTTTCCACAATCCAGGAATGCCGTGTGCCATTTGTACTTAGACCATGTTTCTCAACTTCAACAACTTTAAGAGGCATGGACTTCAACTCCCAGAATACCCCAACTGACATGTTGGAGAATTCTGGGAGTTGAAGTCCACACCTCTTAAAGGTGCCACGATTGAGATAGACTGAGAACACAACATCTTCCCATAGTTCAGCATCAGGAAGGGAAGAAGGGGAGAAAAACAATATGACAAAGTCCCCTAGCTCTGAGCTACTGTATCTTCTCTCCACTTCCACGTGTTAATAATACAATAATATTAAGGTGTATTGTTGCAAACATTGTACAGCCCAATTGCACATCTTGGCTTTGGAATTTCAGCTAGGTTTTTTCCTGGTACAGTTTTGTAAAACAGAGATTTACTAGAAACGATGTAAATTGTCTGAACAATAGCAAATACATTCTGAGTGGCATTTTGCCAGTTAATAATATATTAAATCAGTTATATTGCTAGAACAGTCTTCAAGGTGTACTGTGTTTTGCAAAAATCTACTGTACAGTAACTACTGTGTTATCATGACATAAGTAATTATGGTTGCTCTCTTCCCAAGAGATCTTCCTGTTTGTCACCTATTCCAACCCTCTGGAAGAAAAATGGGATGAGAATATTTAACCAATGTAGAAATACAACAGTATGGAAAATTGGCATTGAATAATATAATAACTATGGTGGGACATGGTGGCTCAGTGTCTAAGATGCTGAGCTTGTCGATCAAAAGGTCGGCAGTTCAGCGGTTCGAATCCCTAGTGCCGCGTAATGGGGTGAGCTCCCGTTACTTGTCCCAGCGTCTGCCAACCTAGCTGTTCAAAAGCATGTAAAAAATGCAAGTAGAAAAATAGGGATCACCTTTGGTGGGAAGGTAACAGTGTTCCGTGCGCCTTTGGCCTTTAGTCATGCCAACCACATGACCACGGAGACATCTTTGGACAGCACTGGCTCTTCCACTTTGAAATGCAGATGAGCACTGCCCCCTAGAGTCGGGAACGACTAGCACATATGTGTGAGGGGAACCTTTACCTTTACCTTTAATATAATAACTATATAATTGTTGTATACCACCACTTCTAATGGACTTTTCCCAGTAAGCTATGTTAACACCACACTGTCAACTAGATAATATGTATATCTAGCAAATGCATATATTTTTATGCCTTGATACATTATATTAACCCAGCCTGTTTTTTGTTACATGTAAAATGCAAATCCAGAATACAGAATAATTAAAAATGTGTGTTACATGTATTGTGCAAATGTAGCCAGTAGATGACTGGCCACAGTAGTAGCCAAGCAGCTACTACTAATTACCAAGCATTTTTTATTATTTCAGCATCTAGTTTCTATTAGATGGCATGGGTACTTGATACAGAAAGACAGGACATAAATGCAAATAAATACATAACTTTTAATAAACCAGCAATATTTTATAGAACAAGGAAGAGATTGTCAAGTCTCTTTTTGCAGTATTAGGAATCTAATGTAAATTCAACCTTGCTGGAGTGAAACATTATCTTTTGTACTTGATAGAGCTAGCAAGGTCTCCTTTGACTATCAGTGTAAAAATCTGCTCCTCGGGCACTTTTCCTATTTTGCTTAAAATAGGGTTCAACAGATGCAACATCCTACGGAGCACATATTAGAGAACCTTGAAAAAAATCAAAACTTCTGAATTCTGACATGAACCAGCCAGATAGATTGCTATTATTTTTTTCCTAATAGAGGTATAGTAGTCTTCACTTAAAAATCACTCATTCAGCAACCATTGAAACTTAAAATAGTGATGAACGAGTGGCATTTATGAATAGTCCTCATAGTTGCGGCTATCACAATGTTCCCACAGTCACATGATCTCAATCCAGGGGCTCAGCGACCATCTCGCAGTTATGATGAGCACAGTGTCCCACGGTCACATGATTGCCATTTGAGTTCTTCACCGCTGATTTCTGACAAGCAAAGTCAACGGGGAACCTGGCAGGAAGTTGCAAATGGTGACCACTTGACTTTGTGCTTCCTTAACAATGAACGGCCATTGCAAAGCCATGATGAGATATTGTGCTTCAGAACCACATCTCTTAGCAACGGAAATTCTGATCCCAATAATCATCATTAACTGAGAACTACGTGAGCTTAAATGGACTCTGGAGGATGGTAGAGGACAGGAAGACCCGGAGGAATGTTGTCCGTGGGGTTGTGATGGGTTGGACACGACTTCGCAACTAACAACAACAACAACAACATGTAAGAGATTAAGGGAGCAGACATAAGATTCCTCCTATGACAATATCCCCCAGCAACAGCTCTGTGAGATTCATTATTTTGAGAGAAATGTGGAATTTGGAAATGTGTTTTTGAGAGGAAGAGTATTTTGAAATGTTGTCTTTCAATGTGGAATTTAGTGTGTCTTTAAAACATTTGCAAGCCCTTTGGGCTCTGAAATATTTGCAAAATGTTTAGAAAAATGATACTGCTCTGGTGTCATGTTTAAGATTTCTTGCTTTTCTTCTTCCTTAGCCCCAGTGTGTCCTGTCTAGTATAAGAATGTACTCATAAATAGCTTAGGGGGAAGAGGTGGGGACGGAAAGCAAGGGTAATTCTGTGCTGATGGAACAGTGGAATTTTTGATGAAACAATTGGAGAAGGAAAGATTATATGCATGTATGCATGCATGTATAGAGTAAATCTAGGAGGGTCATGTTCAGCTGCAGATATATTGATCCCCTGGGCCTCTTTAGGGTTAAGATTTGAAGCTTAGTAAGATTCCCTGTCTTTTTCAGTTGACAGAAGAATATTTAGTTTTTCAAAGGAGTGCGGGACCTACTTAGCAACCTACTTTAGATGTTATGGCCTCTATTTGTCTAAAAACTGTCCCCTAAAGAGAAAAAATACATTCTGCCTATGTCTAGGATTTATAGTACTCTCCTTTATCACTATTATATTAAGACTATAATATGAAATATTCATATACATCTGTTCTCCACCAGAAATCAATCTATCTATCTATCTATCTATCTATCTATCTATCTATCTATCTATCTATCTATCTATCTATCTATCTTTCTTTCTTTCTTTCTTTCTTTCTTTCTTTCTCTTTCTTTCTTTCTTTCTTTCTTTCTTTCCTTCTTTCCTTCCTTCCTTCCTTCTACTGTATTATTGTCCTGTTCCAAAATTAAAGCCTTAAGAATCTACCATTCCGACAAACTTTTCTTCTTTCCACCTTACAGAAATGAAGATGTTTACCAAGAATGTTTCTTAGAAATAATTCAGAATTAATTTGCCTTTTCCCTCCTGAATAATTCTACCCACCTTTCTGTTTTGTTTTTTCAGATGGTAATCTAAGGACATCCTGATCTGAAAGCTGTTTTGGAAACACTGTGGCCAAAAATGGGGGGGGGGAATGCTACATGAGTCTAATGCAGCCCTAAATAAGGAGGTAATCTGCTTCTAAATGTAAGAGGCTGAAATTAAGCAGCAACACATTTCCTTCTCTGCTTATGAGTTCTCTAGAATTAACTAGAATGCATAAGAATGGATTCTTGGACCAGAAGGATTCTTGGTGTGTTCAGTAGTGGCCCTCTCAATATGAGATGGAGAATAAAGCTCCAAATACGGATACCTAGAATCAGTGGCAAAATCCAAATTTTTTTATTACCGATTCTGTGGGCATGGCTTGGTGGGCGTGGTGTGCTTGGTGGGTGTGCTAGGGGAAGGATACTGCAAAATCTCCCCCCCCCCACACTCTGGGGCCAGCCAGAGGTGTTATTTGCCAGTTCTCTGAACTACTCAAAATTTCCACTACTGGTTCTCTGAACTGCTCAAAATTTCCGCTACCAGTTCTCCAGAACTTGTCAGATTTTACCCCTGCCTAGAATCATCCCAAATCACATATTCCCTATGAAGTTTTGTTGGCTAATAGAATTGAATGGATTTATGGAAGTGGCTGATAGAGAAAGGCATATTATTAATTATGGAAACAGGAAAAACTTTTATTAACTAATAATAACAGTTGAGAATAGAAATAGAGATGGCTTAAGAAGATTGTGGTATCTATTGTACCCCCTGATGTGTGTGTGTGTGAGGGGGGAGAGGGGGGGAGAGGGAGAGGGATGCCCTTTGTGGCTCAAACATCTTCCAGAGGTACTTTTTGAGGTACAAGCTGGATGAACCTGATTGTACCCATTTACAATAGGAATATGCAGAAAATGAGGTTGTCTGTGAGACTTTAGAAGCAGCCAATATTCTTGAGATGGCCCCAAGATTGCCACTTGGAGAGGCCCAACCTTTTTGATTAAGCTAATTATACACAGTGAGAGAATTTTTGTGAGTAAGTGATAATAGATGTCTTTCCATTTATCAGTTGTGCTGCTCTGCTCCTTTTTGCCAATAGTTCACAGCAGAAGAACCACGATAGCCTGCAGTTTCTACTGTATCCATTCACTGAGTCGTGGACTATTTTTCGTTCACCTCTCTCATTTTGAGACCCATATCAGCTCCTTCCAAACCACAATATTCTTAGTCTTCCTTCTCCTCTTGACCCATTTACTCTTCTTTTATATATTTATTTTACAATTCTGTCTTCACTCATTCTTCCTGTATAACCAAACCACTTCAATATGCTTCTTTCTTACCGTTAATTCATTGTTGTATTCAATCCATGAGTACAGCTCTTTCTTGCCCTTATCCCTTCTTGTTTTACCACACACCCGCATTTCCACTGCATTTAATTTACTTCTGTGTTTTTCTTTACACACCCAACTCTCATTTCCACATAGCAAAGTGGGCAGCAGCCCACTCCTATGTAGCCATTTTTGCTTCTTTCGTTCCTCACCACAGACCACATAACTACTCACTACCTTTCTGCAAGCATTTCAACTTCTTAGAATGTTTCCATCCATGTTCACATTTTAGTAAACATTCTACCCAAGTCTAGAAATTCATTTACTTGCTCAAACTTTTCATCATTTATGTATGACTTATAATTGTTCGCTTCATTTCCCCTGTCAAACACAACTATCTTGGTCAGACTAAACAACTCAAGTTGATCTGACCGAAAGCTTTTCTTTTGTAGTTTTGTGTCACCACTCTCCTCAAGTTCCAACCCGTAAAAACCCAAATTGGTATAAATCCAACAAAAATATATCATATCAAATAGTATTGCACATTAATTCTCTTACCTACATCCTGTGCTCAAAGGATTCATAACTCTTCATAAATACTATGTACTAGGAATATAGTGTAGAAGAACATACACATTTAAAAAATAATAATTTCTACTTACACTAATCTACTGCTTTAGACTGCAGTATTTTATAGTTAAATTTTGTACAGTGTTTTGAGAAAACCTTTACCAGAATGCAATGTGTTTAGGCCCTGAGCCTCTGAAGAAATAACAAGTCATAATCGGTGGATGCTTAATATGATATAGTATTTCATTCGTTCGTTCTATTCATTTTATTAATTTATGGAGTTTTTATGCCACTCCATTCCTATCTCTTCAAAGAAGAAGTGAATACAATGAATGCTGGAAGATAATATTTGTCATAAGGTGCTGACAAAAATCTGTCATGGTTTTCTGAGTTGAAGATGATGGTGATAGTGGCATAACCCAATGCAATGTTCCAGTGAGCAGGTCTGAGGCCTGGCAACTCTAGTTAAACCAATTTCTACTAGGAATTGTGTGGAATATGGTATCTGAAGCCTTTGAAAGCCATTGCCAATCAAACGTAACAGTAGAGAAGATGATGTAATGGGTTGACTTGGGATATAGCAGATTTAAAATTCAGTGTTGAAATGGAGGCTACTTTTCCCTTCAAGTATGTATTAACTGAGCCATAAATTATCCTTGAGAAGTTAGGCTAAGTTTCAGTACAGATTTTATAGACCAGTAGAGAGTATTTTTTTTACAAAGATTTGGACTCAAGCGATGACCAAACAGTGAGCTGATCTTACCATGTAACTTAAAGTCACTTATGTTGCTAGAAAAGTAAAGAGACTTTGTTGATTTGTTATGTGATAAAACTATGGATTTTAATTGCCTGATTCCTGGCTTCAGAAAAATGTATTAAATGTACATATAAATGTATTCTTTCTCTCCAATTATTTTTTTCCTCCTTTGTTTCTATGTTTAGAGCTGCAACCCTATGCTTTAGGTGACATCTGCAGAATAGTTATTTCCCATGACTTGGCAACAACAATTCTAATGAATTTAACCCAATATCATACTAGCTATTGTTGCCATCATCCTGCAGAGTCATCAACTATCAACTGCACTTCTACACAGCTGAGTCATCAGCAATCAACTACACTCCAGAGATTCTTCATATTGTTAAAGTGATTGTGACCAAATAGTTAAATCACTTAAAAAACAAACAAGTGAGGGACACCATGGCTTTTGGGATTTCTTTCTACACCTTTCCCAGCAGTAGGAAGTGTCTGTTTTTTATTCTGTGGCATCTGTATATGTGTGTATATTTTGTCCCCAAATAATAATCAAAATGTGTGCATCTTTGTGCACTGATTGTGTGTGAGAGACTCTAATCTTGGTAGTGTATGGGTAGGCGCAATGGTGTGTTTCTGCTTTCCTCTTAAATTGCATCTTTGCATGTTTGTGTATGTGTGTGCACTAGAAAGCATATACAGTACTTCACCATGGATCCCATGATCCGAAAGAAGGAGGGAGGGGGTTTAAAATAAAGGAGTTGGTTGCATTCCACATTACTGCCAACTGCGTCTCCCAATGGGATGCCTTGGGAGATTTTTTTTCCTGAAATTTGGCCGCCCTGAGTCTTCAGAGAGGGGCGGCATACAAATTGAATTAATAAATAATAAAGAAAGAAATAAATGTTTTTCTCCACAGCATCCAGCCTGATCCAGACTATTTTTAATCTCTATGTCTCGCACTGAGTTTAGTCCTTTTCTGTTCAGTTTTTGAAGAGTTATCCTGCAGAAAGACAGACAGGGTTTTCTTTCCCACAGTTAGATCAATGAGTTTCCTTTTCCCATTCTTGAATTAGGAGGAAATTATATCAACATACATTATACTGCTCCCACAATCTAGCTTTTCTACTTCTCACCAGTGACATTGGGCAGTGTTGCTGTCCTCACACAATTTCATATGTGGTAGTTTCTGAGCAGCAATTGGTGTACCCCATGTTGTCATTTCCCTTCCCGCCCAGCATTATCTATTAGTAGGCCAGCCAGCAAACCAGTGGTGAAATCCAAATTTTTTTACTACCAGTTCTGTGTGAGTGGCTTGGTGGGCATGGCAGGGGAAAGATACTACAAAATCTCCATTCCCACCCACCCCCGGGGGAAGGATATTTTAAAATCTCCATTCCTACCCCACTCTGGGGTCAGCCAGAGGTGGCATTTGCCGGTTCTCTGAACTACTCAAAATTTCTGCTATCGGTTCTCCAGAACCTGTCAGAACCTGCTGGATTTCACCCCTGCAGCAAACACAATCTTCTGAACATGGATGATGGTTCAACTTTATTATTTAATTATTTGGCTTTAATTTGTATTATTTACTGAGTTGGAGGTAGGAATTAATCTGAATCCAATTTGCACTAATCTACCTATCCTAGATTTGACTGGTCAGAGAAATAGAAGATTAATATTCTTGGGCCAAACAGCTCTTCTCCATCAAAACAGTTTGCCAGAATCATTAAAATATTGATTATTCAATATTGCCATCAGGTTGGTGTCAACTGTTGTGGACTACATAGATAGATTTTCTCCATGATAGCCAGTTCCTAACTTGAGTCTTTCAGATCTCCAAATAGGGGAGCCATCACTAACTGAGTCCATTTACCTTGCTGCTGGTTATTCTCTTTCCACCTATCCCAATACTGGAGCCTTTTCCAGATCATTGCATAATATGCCCAAAAATAAGATAAATTGAACCGATCATTTGTGCCTTGAGTAAGATCTCTGATTTGTTTGATGATCCATTTGTTTTCTTGGCTCTCCAAGTATTTTCACAAATCTTCTCCAACACCAAAATTTGAAAGTGTCAATAGTCTTTCTATCCTGCTTTTTCAAAATCCAACTTTCACTTGTGTAGATTGTCACAGGGTATATTGTGGCTTGCATGATTCCGATTCTTGTCTGTATAAGCAACTGAATATCTTTTTCAAGGCTTTTCTATGTTGGTATAGTCTGCAGCATATTGGTGCAGTATATTGGTGCTAGTCTGCAGCATATTTCTTGACTGCTTCTTCCTTTGCTACTGATGGTTGCTCTCTACCACTTCAGAATAGCAGAATAACAGAGTTGGAAGAGTCCTGGAGGTCTTTTAGTCCAAACCCCTGTGTCAGAGTTCCAAGTAATGCTCCCAATGACAGAAGACTCTGAGGTTTAAAGTTCCTCAAAGTTCCATTTTATTAGAGATGTCATATTGGCACATCTGGGAAAACCCAAATCTGAAAGCTTCCA